ACTCCATATCAGAAATTATGTTTAAATTAGATCTTAAGTGGGACCAATTCAAGAAGCCTGATCACAGCTTATTTTAAATGAATAAAATATTACTTTCTCTTCAATCAACGTCATACAAAATTGTATCGAATTTTCTTCTGGCACGGTTAACGCCATTTATAAATAAAACTATCGGGAACGATCAATGTGGATTCCGCCGTAAATAAGCCAACTATTAGTCAGATATTTTGCATTGGGCAAATATTTAAAAAGTGAGTGTATAATGGGTCAGTTAACCAAATATTTGTGGACTTTAGGAAGGCATATGACTCAGTTACAAGAGAGGTATTTTGACTGAGTTTGAAATAACAAAGAAACTTGTTAGGTTAATTAAGATGTGTATGGACGGGGTATCTAGTAGAGTTCGTACAGGTAACCTTCTGTCGTATCCGTTCCCAGTGCACAATGGCCTGAAACGGGGGGATGTTTTATCCCCAATGATTTTTAATTTTGTTCTAGAACATGTCATCTGGAAGGTCAGAGGGAATCAATAGGGCTCGAATTGAATGATCTGCACCAGGTATTTGCCTCTGCTGATGACGTCAATCTGCTCAGGGATGGTGTGGGTACCATAACCACGAATGCAGAAACTCTGCTACAGACTAGCAAAGAAATATGCCTAGAAGTAAATGTAGACAAAACCAAATACATGGGCGTAATACGAGATCAACATCAGAAACAACGGCGGAACATAATTATGAGTAACATAATTTTAAAGTCTTTCAAAATTTAAGTATCTGGGAACAATAACAAACAGAAATTAGGTCAATGATGAAATTAAGAGTATATAATACATTCGGGGAACGCCTGTTTTATTCAATTCAAAACCTGTTATCTCGTTTTTTTAATCCAAAACACTAAACACAAAACAACAATTTTGCTTGTTGTCTACTATGATTATGGACCACGGTCTCTTACATTGAATGAAAAACGTAGACTGGACATGTAGCACGCAAGGGGCGCAAAGGGTGCATACAACATTTTGGTGAGAAATCGTTCTGGAAAACGACCACTGGGCAGACCAAGAAAGAAACGGGAGGAAAAAATCAAGATGTACATTAGGGATGGTAAATGGATAGAGTTGGCTCAGGATCGTGACCGGTGAAAGGCCATGGTGTTGTCGGTGATGGACCTGCGGGTTCTGCTACCAGGGAATTAGTTAGTTAAAATATTACTCTATTTAAACAGAAACGTGTAGTAATGTTACAAGATCTCTCACCGAAAAACTAAGGTTAATTCTAAAAGACGTGAAGTTACGCAAACTGTTGCTTTTCCGATTCTATATAAACGTAATTATGATTGTAATGATTAAACGGAAATAAGATATAAAGATTCGCATTCGGAAAATATTATTAAGCCGTCTGCAATGGAGTATAATCTACTTTCTCGATCACTTAAATCAGCATTTACTTATACACAGATACAATTCATAATTTGAAATTATCTCATATAAGTGGCTCGAGTGATTTATTACTAGCTTCACTTTTAGCGAGGACCCAAGTTTCCCTACTAAAAAACGGGACAGGGACAGCGATTTGCTCGCAGAGACCCAAGATTAGACCTACCACTTCATTATCTTAATTTTCCAGCTCTGGTCACGCGAACAGCAGCCAGAAAGTGCATCACCTTCTCAGTCTGTGGTACGGAATTCGAAATTTATCATCTATATATACCTCTATAAGACCGTACACTTAAGCTGCGAACAACGGATTCCCAAGGGATATGGGGAACTTTCGATTTGACGTAGGTTTTCATTTAACACAGACACGTATTTTAAGCAACGAAAATTTTCACAGTAGGCCGCTATAAGCTGAAATTGTATCTTATTCAATTCAATTCAATTCAAATCAATTCTTTATTATTACTGTGCTATATCTACAGCCAGAAGGCCAATTATTGAAAATTATGTTAATAGCATATCAGAGATTCTTTATCTGCCAGTGTATTACTTACATACTTTAAAATTAATATGTATATAACTCTGATTTTATGTGCTTTTGTTGATGTAACATTGATCTCTTGCTCTCAAGGTGTTTGATAACAAAATTCTGAAGAAGATTCTTGCGTTTAGGGAAAATGACGTAACAAAGACTGAAGAACAGCAAGCCTACGTAACGAGGTACTCCTCAACTAATGTGATTCCAAGCCTTTAAATCTGATAATTTCCCGATATTTTCAAAATAACTACTCAAAACATGTTATACTTTTTTACATTATACGCCAGAAACTTTTCCAAGCTGTTAAAACTCGTAAGTTAAATTCGGGAGGACCCGCTTTCAAATCTGGGTCTGGAGACTGATATCCTGACTAACTATTTCAGTGGATTTCTTAAGTCCGACCAGGTAAATACTGCGAAAGTATCTTAATTAGGCAACGACCGCTTCCTTCCATATTTTTTCAAATTTGTTAGTCATCCTATTATTCAACGCTGCACAGTCTGAACTACTTACAGCGTCGTTAAATAAATCACAAAGACTCGAAAACCACTCAGAAATTTTACTATAAACCAGGGAACTAAAAAAAATACAGAAACCTATATCAGCTTCGGAAATTGACGAATTATCGTTAAACTATTCAGTATTTTACACAAGTAATGCCTAAGACCCAACACTGTCTGTGAGATTTGTTGGAATTGAACAGCGGTCTGTTCACTGTCTTAGTTTAGAGGGGCTTAAACATAAAGGAAGCCCAGTAATGAGTTTCGGGACTTACCTGTCGTTCTCTGAAGTCCGTTAAGTCTCCTCCAACCACACAGGCTAACAGACTTCAACCAAAGCTTGAAATACGAACTTTCAGTACGTAAAGCTACAATTATGTAAAAGCGCGTTTTAGGCTAAATTCCTTTCGGGCAATGAACGCACGATGAATAACAAGACGAAGGAGAATATTAAGGAAACGGATCAGGCGAGGATGATGAAGACGGCGAATAATAAATATACGGAGGGAGAAGAAGAAGAGGGAAAGGAAAAAGGAGCAGCGAAGGACAAAGAAAAGAACAGGAAGAGGAAAAAAGATAAATATTAATTTGAAGATTTCTGTCTGCCAGGAACTTGCAACTTACAAACTATTTATGATTTGAGGTTTCCACAGCGGTGAGTATGAAGCCTTCTGGGTTGTTGCGCCGTGTATACGCTCTGATGATGGAGACAGTATGACCTCTGAAACGTTTGTAAACATCTACCAGACTACACAGAGCAACAACCCAGAAGACAGAAATCTTCATACTCATCGCCCTGATGACGGAGGCAGTATGACCTCTGAAACGTTGGTTAACATCGACCAGACTACACAGCGCAACAACCCAGAAGACGGAAGGCTTCATACTCACCGCTGTGAAAACCTAAAATATTACATAAATATTAATTTGTTTTTTATATACTTGTCATGTTTAGAAATCCATTACTGCACAAAACTAATTCACTTCTTCCTGGACACTTGGGTCTAAAACACATTTTCGCCTGGAATGGTTTTGGTCTATTGTCGACCACTCACTCACTCACCCATCCGTCAATTGCTCGTTCAAAATCAAATTAATTATATTCATTATATCGGATGGCTATTAACTTAAACTACACAGAGAATTTAACCGAATGTCAAGAATTAATACTGAACGTATAGCACTGACTAGCCGACAAAGTGGATTCTTCTGAGCTTATGGATTTCTTAGACTCGATATTACAATTAATTACGCTTCGTTACTTGAAATTATAGCATTTGAAATAAAGTTATTCTCCTCGTATTTCGGTCCGGTTTGTCTGTTTCTAAATAATGCTTGTTATTCATTGCCCATATTCCCGTAGGTCACGGCGATGTTCTCTGTCTCTGTCTAACCCACACAGCTTATTCACTAACGCGCAAGACATCGTTTCTTCTTAGACCGGCTAGAAAATTCCTGGCCTAGTACGTACAAGTGGAAACGATAAACGGTACCTTGCAACTAACAAACTATTTATGATTTGAGGTTTTCACAGCGGTGAGTATGAAGGCTTCTGAGTTGTTGCGCCGTGTATATGCCCTGATGACGGAGGCAGTATGACCTCCGAAACGTTGGTAACCATCGACCAGACTACACAGCGCAACAACCCAGAAGACAGAAATCTTCTTACAAACTATTACTTGTTAATATTTTTGTGTTAGCTGAAGGCCCTGATGTGTTCAGACTAGGGGCAAATGTCACTGATGGGAAAATTATTCCATCAGGCCATTTGTCCTTTGTGATAAGAAATTTGGTTGGAAGGATGTCTGGAAATTGAACTAAGAAGCGCTGGGATCGCAATGGCTGATGATTTCTACGATATGAGGGGAATCGTTTTGGTTGAAAGCCTCAACGATTAGGTGTAGGCGGGCCGTGTCCCTTTTGCATCATATTCTGGAATTTGCCTCGTAACTGTACTTTCCTACCTTTCTTTTCTATCACCCTGTTCTAACCTTGCCTTTTCCCGTCAGAGTGCGCACTGGCCTTCTTCTGTTTTGCAGTTATACAGGGACCAGTGGGAGTCAAACTCTACCCGGTGGTCGGTCGCTTAATGTCTCCCCCCCTTTTTTCGGACTAAATTGGGTGGGTCTTATCCTGGCTTAGAAAGTGGGCAGAGGATCGACACAGGTTCCCGGGGCCTCTTTGTGTGACTAGTCTGTGTGTGTGTGTGTGTGTGTGTGTGTGTGTGTGTGTGTGTTTGTATATATATATATATGAAATAAAATGTCAAAGTTCATACAAGAACATGACGGGAAACTCTTCAAGCAAGACACGACCTCTTTCATCGACATTATTTAAAATGTAATCACCCCATCATTGGAAGCAACAAATTTTTAATTCAAGAAACACCAATCTGTCTCTGACATGCCCTTTCAGCACCGATCTTTAGACCATCAAGACATTAAAGACAACTTCGCTGGAAGTGCTGATGCACACAAATCAATTTTCATTCAGATTAAAATGTACTTAGGCCACTTTTACTTACGCATGACGTCTTCCATCCGAGCGACCGTGGTACACGTCAGGAAGTCGGCGTAGAAGCTGACCATCACGAGGCCACCGTTCTCCGCCTGCGGGAACATTACAGCCTTCTTGAAATGCTACACAAGTCTATGCTTTGCCTACCGTTCTTAAATACTAGTTACAAAAATGCTGTAGATCAGACACATGGCGCTGGAGCACTGACTGCCAGGCGTTGATTCAGAGTTGAATAGATCAGCATTTCAACTCAACATAGAAATATTTGTTGCGTATCAAATACTTTATTTCCCGTTTCCTCTTACACATTCTATTTAAAAATTCAGATCTCGCGAACATGATATTGAAATATCCTACGGTCATTTCTACAAATTAAACGATTATAATTTTGTATTAATCTGGCAGATAAACTGAAATATTTCTGTTACTCTAATTTTATTTTATGACTCATCATTTAGGAGACATGATTCTCTTGAAGATTCATCGATTAGGAAACAGAACACCCTGGTCGACTTATCGATTAGAAGATAAAATCATCATGCAGCTCACACTGAAAATCTCAACCCATTTATACTTTCTGCATTTGCTTTTGGATGAAATATTGTTTCCTTATATTTTACAAACCCTCATACATTTTAGGATGTATCAAAAACACAAACTACGGACTATTCCAATTCAATGCCATTTTTCTATAGTCATATTATTGCGGTCACTAAACCATGCACGTGTACTGAGTATGGTGTCTTAAAAAGTGAGATTGACGGATACCTAATTCAGAATATTATATATATGCCTATACCTGGTGGCGGAAGAAATTATACCGATTGAAAGTTTAAATAAAACATTTAATATTCATGTAATGGTATGTATATGAACACAAAGAACAATTCCTTGTGTGTTACTAATTCTCTTACATTAACCGTAGAAGAGCATTGCCAAGTGGCGTTACACAAAAATAAAGGAAAATGTTTCACGGCACTAAACAAAAGGGTAACTTTACAAAGTTGCATGTGTTTGAATTCCCAAACTGTATTAGAATTTATTTTCGTATTTTCTTCGATTTTATTCATATACATTTTTACAATATCGGTTACGTTTCAAACAAAATGTTTAGGGGTTAGTGACATTTTAGAAACTAGCAATAAATGATAACTCTTAGTGAAATAAGCACAAAATGTGATTAGACCCTGAAGAAATATCAATCTTAAACCAAATAAAGTGACTGGAACGTAACTCGATAACAGTCATATAATACAAGTGTCGTATAAGTGCCTATACAATTTTATCATACCTCTGTTAATTCTAAAAAAATTCACGTAAAAGATTCGTACACCCCTTCAGTAAAATGACCCTAAAATGGATAAAGGTTAGCGTAATCTACATATTTGGTAACACTTATAATAATGAAAATGATGCATACAATGTTCTTAAAATCTGTCAAATGATTCAAGAAATCCATTCTCTTGAGTAAAATGTACAAGTCCTTAATTTATGCCAAATAATCCAAAGTCATGTGTCTCGGTAACATTTTGTATAAATATTTCATACTCAGTTTAATCGAAATCGGGCAGATGGTTTTCGATTTATTTTAGAAACTCGTTTCAAAATGGTTAATCCATGTCTGGAATGCAACACCATACAAACAGGTGTTTATAGTATAAATAGTATTTCGAATTGAGGTCTTAAATATCCCATCATTAATTTTATCGACTTTTATACAAGGAAAGGAAGTTATCTACTTACACGTTCACTAAGGGTTTCTGAAACTCAGAATTTTCTTTATTACATTAGAAGCGATCTGTATTAAACCTCACCCATTGATTTTCCATTAAAGGCCATATAAAAACTTTTATCTCAAATAATTAAGAAGTTGTAGGTTAAAGCGAATTTGGTGACGTTCAATTGTGTCGCAGAGGGTGGCAGTTCGTTGGGAGAAACGGGGTGTTTGCTTTTTAATTAGATTCGGCGATGTTTTTATTCCAGGTTTTAGTAAGGAAACCTTTTTTGTGGTAATAAGATCAGCGAAGTTCATATCACCAGTGGAAAAGTGAAATAAGACACAGTAGTCTCTTAAAGGCCCACTATAGCCTAACCTCGCCCCTTTCATCGTAACTTTTATCATTCAGTCTTTTATAAAGACTGAATGATAATTTCATGGGACAGAGAAGGAACGACGGATTTCGCACCAAAATCTATTCTACCCAAGAACATACCGAGTTTTACAATTGCTATTAACACTGTTAAAGATTTCTATCTTCTGGTTGTTGCGCTGTGTAGTCTGGTAGATGTTTACCAACGTTTCAGAGGTCATACTGCCTGATGACGGAGACAGTATGACCTCTGAAACGTTGGTTAACATCTACCATATTACACAGCGCAACAACCCAGAAGACAGAAATCGTCATACTCACCGCTGTGGATACCTCAAATCATACATTATCACTGTTATTTTTCTCCAACTTATGTTTCCTTCTCATTTAATTTTCCTTTTACCACAATTCTTTACATTCAATATTTGAATATTTTGTACGTCGTTTCAGTTAAAATAACACTTCATATACTATATTGTAACTGAACTGTGTTAAGTACAAAGTAAAAATGCTTACTAAGTTCGTTTAAATAAATAAACAATATACTTTTATTAATTTCTTCATTTAAATTCTTTAGAAAATAGAAAATTTCGCAAGTCGTGAACTGCAATACAACAAAGTTTAAGTACCATTTTCTCCGATTGTCACCGCTGAGTGGATAATAAAGCCTAGTCGTATTCAAGAGGCCCGAATTCGATTCCCGGTCTTGTAAATGATTAGCCTGGGACAGGGTTTTAATGGATTACCCCAGTCTCTCCAAGCACAAAATGGGATAAAGAAATAATCACCTTCTTCCAAGTTCCACCCAAAGCATCAGTCCAAATGACCATTCGCAACTGTTCAGCTGAGAAAGTGTAGTCAAATAAAACAAGAAGAAATATTCTATTTCACTATTCAGTGTTTGTTAAAATAACAGTAATTTTATTATGTTCAGTTTATTGGCATTTCCCCTTAATAATTTAGAATAACATTTTGAGTTCTATAACTCTACCAAAGCTAAAATTAATTATTACAGCCAGAACACGAGCAATTTAGGGGGTTTTATGTTGTGGTTATATAATCCCTTGTGGTTCTTCGTAGCTCTCTGCTAGAGTCAACCAGTTTGAATTGCTCGCGCCGATGTAGAATTCACAAATGTTTTAACGGGCAATTGGACTTGGCCCGAATCTGAGAGGAGTTAACACAGTGAGGATAAAAGCACTTATTTCTGCTTGTGTAAATGTTTGTCGCTGAGCTGTTTTTGTTCCCCAGTCTTGCTACAAGGCACAAAAAACAGTTAATTGTGATATTATTGTAGTCAGGTAGGAAAACTATTTTCTTAAGTTTTTCATATAATACTTATATTTACTTCATATCACTTGGCGGCATTTGTGCGCAGTTTGGCAAATTTACAACTTCTATTGCCAAATTATTTTTGGTTATAAGCTGTGCAAAATAGCGCCGTGTTTTGTTTTAGTTTACAAATATATCTTATTTCTATTCCAGAACGTCCATAACAAGCTCACTGTCTTATTTTACGCACACTTATTAAATTATTCAAATTCATTTCAGTAATCACGTGAAGTAAGAATAGAATAAATTATCGTGTTTAGACATTAACACAAAAATTCGACTCAAACATCCAAATATAAGGTTCGCCATCTATACGTATATACTTGCCAGCTTCCCAGAATTGTTAAAGAAGTTGCCGAAAGGACACGGCGCTATGATCAATTTGAAATCTCGTAAACAGAGGAATGTAATGGACCACAAATAATCAGAATTTTTTCGTGTTCTATTTGTGGCTCATTTAACGACATTTAAAATGATGCCATGATTAATAAATAATGAATTCGAAAGGAAATGGAAGGAATGTGTCGTGGCTAATTTAAGACGCTATCCTCACATTTACCTGGACAGACCGAGGAACTGAACACCTATATTAGGAGAGAAACTATCCGGGTTCAGATATGAACCATAGACCTCCTGAATAAAAAAGCGTTTTCATTTCGCCATAAGTAGAAAGATTACATACGGGAATCTTCCAGGTGCAGTTTAGGCGTGAAAGAAAAGAAAGGGAAACGAAATAAATATAAAGGAGACAAGAATATATAAAACAAGAACATAAGAAGAAAAGAAACAGAAACAAATAAAGAAAAGCGAAACCATTTCCCGTAGTCACGTGGCTTCAGGCTTATGTTTTTTAACGCGAGACGAAGCGATTCACTACTGAACTTCAAACGGAAATTTTATAAGGTACAGTATCGCCTCACCTAATTCAATATCACCTGCAGATCTATCAACATTTATGCTTTCTTCTGTGTCCTAAATGTGATTTTCATCTACTTATAACTGTTCTACTTTTTCTCCGTACTCATCTGTCGCCGCCCCCTGAGGTGTACTAAAATCCTAACCAAGCAGCACATTATCACACCCTCGGTCCTCAGTTAGTGGCTTCATCTCTGACCCGGAAATTGACTGGTATCGGAGTAAAGGTAGTTCAGTTTATAAACGTAAATATTCAGGTCGAGTTGAGATCGATGCAGTAGCCAATGCAGTCTGTTGGAAGTACTGCGGATAACTACTAAAAACTTACGCCATGATATGCAACCTCCAGATCGAAAATCAAACCCGGTACCTTCTATATATGCAACAGTTGCTGCTACCATTCAGTTTTATGACGAATGTTTACGCCACAACGTTCCATGCACCTACAATTCTCCACGATCCGATAATGAAGGATTCGGAGGTTTGCTTGTACGTAGATTCTAGTCACACAGAAGGGATTTTACTTTGCGGACTATCATCTTCCTTAAGACAGTTCACAGAACATTGCTACACAATGCTGAAAATCCGTTCGACGTGGAGAATGGTTTGCCATAACATGCAGCAGACGAAACTGATAACCACGGAGAATCCATTTAATTCCACTTTCGCTAACGACACGACCATGCTCGGTGTACCTTGAGATTGTGTACAGACTGTTATCCCCTACTCAGAGAACAGTGAAGTTGGACTCAAAG